GCCCTGAGTCAGGGGCCCCGGCTCCAGGCGGCCCCGGGATGGTGGGCCTGTGACCTTGCGCTGCTCGGGAACTGCCCTGCGCCTTCATTTTCCCATCAGAAAAGTCTGCTGTGCAGCCGAGCAGCACTGATGGACAGCGCGTGGCCAGGCCCTGGGGGAACAGGGATGAGGGTGACCATCCCTGCCCTCAAAGGCTGGGGGCGCTGGTAGGGGAGGCAGAGAGCTGGACTGTCCTGATGCAGGGGTGGGTACGCCCAGGGGGCCGTGGGGGCAGGAGGTGGGCACCCTGAGGAGAGGGAGTGGGAGGACTTCCTGGAGGCAGCAAGGGCCTGGATGGAAAGGGAAGAGGAGGTGGGAGGGCAGAAGGAAGGGCACTCTGTGGAGAGGGGGCGGCAGAGGGAGGAGCCCAGAGGTGGGAGCTGCATGGTGTTGGTGGACGGCTCAGTGCTCAGTGCTCCCAGGTGCAGCGCCGCAGGGAAACTCCCACACAGGGATATGGAGCTAAGAGGCCGGGGAATCTCTAAACCTGGGAAGCCAGGTTAAGGAGCTGGACTCTAAGGGGAGATGATGGTGAGTCACAACTGTTAGGCTGTGAGCGCTGCCATCACATGAGTCCGTGCGGCAGCTGTGAGGAGGAGGGAGCGCCCTGGGGGCGGGACAGGCGCAGAGGGAGAGGAGGGGCAGACAGCAGGGAGGTAGATCCACAGCTGGAAATAGACTGGATGGGCAGGAGGAGGACACCCCGGTTTCTGGGTGGGAGCGAGAGAGCGGGACAGGGAGGGCAGGAGGTAGTTCTGGGAGAAAAGGCTGCTAGAGGGGTCCAGCAGGCCCTGCCTGCCTGCACTTCAGGAGAGAGGGCGAGGCTGACGGTGGAGGGAGCGCTGAGGTCGCCGAGGGAGGCTGGAGACTGCGGCTGGGTGAGCTCCCCCAGACCAAGTGTGCAGTATGATGGAAGGGGTCTGGCACCCGAAGCCCCAGGGAGGGTGTTGGACGGGTGCCTCCCCAGCATCCGCCAGATCCAGACTCCCTGAGCCTTGGGAATGTTGGGGATGAGATGGCCCAAAGCAGAATTCCAAGATCTGGGTTCCCCCTTAACTCACTGCCACCAGCCACTACATGACTGTCAGCGTGTCACAGCCTCTCTGAGACCAGACGGAGGTCTCCTGCTCGTGTTGGCCTACTGCCGTTCTGCGTAGGACTTGCATAGGTGCACGTTTCCAGCTCACTTTTCGGGACGAAAGGGAAGGGAGAATTCCAGGTGAGGCACCTTTAAGCAACAGATCTCTGCCTGAAAGGCTGACCCCCAATGACCGAGAGGCCTCGGGGGAGGTCCCTGTTCGCATCTGGGGGAACGCGGCAGGGAGGACTGTCAGACAGTCGCCACTTGTTGAAGCGGGGGGGGCTGTGGTTTTGTGTAGGTGGTTCGCTCCAGAGCTGCGCTCACCTATAAATCACCTGATTACTCCGCTTCAGGGAGCACCTACACCACCGAGGAAGATGCTAAAGGAAGGACTCGGCACAATGGGTCCTCCACAAGGTACCCGCAAACCTCCCTTCTGGTGACTCCCCTCAGCCTGATTCTGACTGGCAGGGTGGGCCCCGGCTCCTGGTGCATCCCCTGTGGTCTGCCCCGCAACCCTGCCCGTCCCCCCCAGTGCACTTGACTCTGACCGTAGAGTCCACCCCCCTTTCCCACCTACCCAAGTGTAATCTATCTCCGAGCCCTCCCCGCTCCCCTCCCTCCCCACCCCCAGTAGCCCAGTGCATCCCAGCCAAGTTCTTTGCATTTACCTGTGATTTTCCTGGCCGGGTCTGTGGCAGCATCTGCTGTGGACTGGTCCAAGGCCGAGTCTGTGCTTCTGCTTGACATCGATGGGTAGGTGGCAGTGTCCGACGTGGTCAGGTTAATGGCACTGTCGGGTGTGGCCTCTCCAATGGCCGGGTTTAGGGTGGCCGGCACAGCCGAACCCATGCCTGTGCCCAGCCTGCTCTTGTGCAAAGCAGGAGACCCCGC